AACCGTGGTCGACTATGTGGGAGTCCAGCGACATAGCCATTATGCCAACTGCTGGTTCTCGATTTTGTTTTTTTTTTCTAATGCCTCAATTCTACCTGTCATAGCTTTTTGGGGAGCAAGTATTTATTTTGAAATTGAAAGCAGGAAAGGTGTGTACTGTTCAAACACATTTGAGGAACTCGGGAGGTGCCTGCGGTTGTAGACATGAGCTCTGTGTCCCCAAGGAACGTATGGGATTCCAAGGTTGGGTTTGAGCGGGGAGAGCTGGGGTGGCTTTTTGAAAGGGGCATCTGGTGCTGATTTCAAAGTAAAGGACAGATGGAGAATTCGAAGGCGTGACCGGGGAGCGAAGTCTATGACAGGTGACATCATCTGGACCCTGGGCGCAGCACGCAGCTCTGGCAAGATCCGACATGTCGGGCTGGGCTGGCCGGCTGACCTTGGCTTCGAGCTTGGCCGTCTTGGCTCCACGGGTGTTGGGGCACCTTCGAGTTTCCCCCAGCGGACAAATGACCAGGTGTAAACACCGCACTGGGGTTCCAGGCAAGCCTCTCCCCTGCTCATACTCTGACCCCACACTCCCAGTATGCACTGGCTTTACAAGAAGTAGAGGGAAGGGCTGGCCCTGCAGTACAGTGCAGAGAGCCAGATCCCACATGCTGACCGTGGTTCGAATCCTGGCCCCAGTGGCTTGAAAAGCATGCTTGGGGCATGCGTGCATGTGTCCCTGAGGTCCTGACGGGATGGGAAAATGGAGGAAAAAGATTGCGCTGTGGCCACGCCCCATGGGGGGATACGTTTTAGCGCTCTCTCTTTTTTTTTTGTTTTAGCGGTCTCTCGTTCCCTGATGTCTGAGCCTTGACACCTCTGGAGAAAAGATGAGACAACAAATTTCAGCTTCTGGATTACTTCTGGTGGAAGCAGTGTCGCCCTGGTTTCTCTCTCTGCCGTTTCCTTTCTAAGCATCAAGGCGGTCCCGGTGTGTTCACTGCTTCCCATCTGCCCTCCCCACCCCACCCCCTGCCAAGCCCCAGGATACATTTTTGTATGTGCTTCTGTTGCTCTGTTTCCTGATTGTGATTTGTTTATTATTTATTTATTTGGTGAACTTTTCATCAAGCTATAACATGCCTGCAGGAAAAGCCCGCAGGTCATCTGTGTGAACCCTGATGAATTTTCATTAGATGGACATCCTCGGCGCGATGTGCTCAGCGCCCCAGAAGCCCTGACCACTCCCCGCTCCTCGGGGGAAATCTCATGGCCTCGCACCTTGCTCCTCACCCGACCCCGTTCTCAGCAGCCCAAGGCCTGGCTGTTAGTGCGTGCTACCGACCTGGAGTGAGATAATGAAGTCGTTGGCTGGGGGACTCTGTACACGTGTAGGAAGGGTGGGGACAGACATTCCTGTATGACTGAGCCCCCTCCGAGAGCCTGTCCCCATCTCTGAGGAAGGGCATGTGTTTCCATACGATGCAAAGAGGCCTTTGAAGTAAATAGTTTACTTCCTCATTTTGGTCTTTCGGGAGGAAAAACAATCCCTCTAACTTGACATTTGTCAGATTGGAAGATTGGGGCTGGTGTGAGCCCTCCTTTTCTTTCCTGAAGAGTACTTGGAATCAGAGCTTGAGCAAGTCCTGCTGTTTTCAGAGCATGCTCCCCCTTCCCTGTTCTCCCCATTCCTCCCTCTCAGCAGAGCTCCGTTGGCGGGATTGATGCAGTTATTAATAATTGGAGGTGGGCCCTAGACGACTTTTTTAATGTAGAGGTCAGATTGACATTGTGTGTTTATGGAATGATAATCAGAGCCAAGCACAATCGTCTTTTTGATCATTTATATCCAGAGACACTTTTTATTATTTTCCTCCGTGGATCTTGCCTTTGACACTTGAATCTCTGACCTCTCGGAGTGTCTTCATTATAGTTTAATGTGAAACGCACAATGTGGATCTTTTAGGAATTCTCCGCAATCCCTTCATCGTTTATGGCACTTGAAAAATGAGACGATAAAGCAGACGTAGCCTGTAGCCCATTGCTTGGAAGCACCAACTCTGCAGCTGGCTGTCAGTCAGCTCCCAGGACAAACAGCGACCTCTCTTTATAGTCCCTCCAATGGGTAAGCCCCGAAGCCAGGGACTTTTGTTGTGACTATAAAATAGAACCAATTGATCCACAAATTAGATGATAAGCGATTCAAGTTTGCAAGTCATCCAAATTGAGTCCTAACCAAAAATTAAACAAACAAAAACCCCCCAAAAAACAAATTACTTAGCAGTATTGAGTGAGTATCTGCTTAGGGATACATTTTTACAGGTCATTACGCTATATCATTTCAATCAAGGATTGAGAAACATGCTGTTTTAGCACAAAATAGGACCAAGGGGGGAGGAACGAAGGTGGTATACAGTAGGAGGAATTGGAAAGATTGCTTTTCTGTGGTTTGACGTCACAGGTTGAGAGAGTGTGGGCCAGCTCGGTCTCGAGTCATTCAGAGTGTGGCCTTGTGCCTTTGGGAAGAAAACGATCTTGTCAAAGGATGTGAGACAGTTGGCTTGAACGGATGAAGAGGAAGCTCAGAAAGCAGGTCACTGGGCCCCCTCATTTGGTGACCTCGGCCATTTCTTTTGACCCCAGAGTGGCTATTTCAGGTGTCCTGAGACCTGTTTCAGAGCTGGGTTGTGATGGCTTTCAGGCAGGAATTAGTTTTAAAATGCAGAAGACTTTGCAGTAAGACAAGTGTCCTGACCCGCGGGACTGTTGAACAGGTTTCCTGAGGAGAGACGGGACGAGATGACACAGTGTTACAACACGAGATGACACTGTGTTACAACATGAGTTGACACTGTGTTACAACACGAGTTGACACAGTGTTATAGCTCTTCAGGGTCCTCAGTTTATTGTGGGCAGCACGGAGACTACACGGTGTCACAGCTCTTCAGGGTCGTCTGGTGATCGTGGGCCAAGGATCGTGGTTATATACATGCTGGTGGGCAGTGATTGGTTGAATGAAGGATTGTAAAAGGTGGGTTATGATTGGTTGCTTTGTGGACCAATCATGAGGTGCCGGATATGCAAATCTGAGGGAATCTAAGCTCACCGATTTGCTATGGGAAGTGGCCAAGCAGTATGATTTTGAAGGTGAGGTTTTTGAAGGGGAGCCAATCATGGCCTTTGTCGTTGTGTAACTGTTTGCTCTCTGAGCCTAACATGGCAATAGTAAGAGACTCATGAAAATGGCCTCGGCAGACTCGCTGGTGCGCAGCCTCCCACAGACAAAGAAAAATCCATGGATTCCATCTCTGGAATGGAATGGCTTAAGCAGAGTACTCTCTGGTCCTCATTATTCCCATGCAGAAGGTGGGAATTCGAAGGACACGTCTTCTGCCTACCTTCTAGGGTTGCAGAAGAGTCAAAGACCGTAAGAATGCTGAGTGTTATAATCTGTTGAAATGGTGAAACTCTGGTTGTTTTAAAATATATCCATTGGCCAGAACAAACTGAATTGATATCAGAAGTGAGTGGTGAATGCCCAGGAGAAGGGGTCAGGCCGTAGAGAGTGTGTGTTCACTCAGGGTAAGCAGGTTGTTCGTCCTCAGTGTCTTGGTGGTATGCAGAGGTGCAGGGACACACAGAACTGTCCCAGTGGGAGGCAGGGGCAGGACAAGGGGGTCTATATCCTGGCTGTGAGTACAGTACCGTGTCTGTTGGCAAGAACTGCCCCCCACCCCACCCCATCACCAATCTCCCGGGTTTGGTCCCAGGGCTGAGACCAGGCGTCTCCTGCTCCTGAAAACTGGCCAGGGGTCTGTTTGCCCCTGATGGCTCCTTGTCTTCTTACACCATCCCAGCACCCTCTTTCCAGAACCTTCTTCCCTCGCCTTCTCAGGCTCTCCTCAGAGAGACCTCCTCTGCACTGTCCGTCCAAACCGGCCACTCCTGGCATGAGGGAACTTTCTGGTGAGATGGAAGTGTTTCGTGCCTTGCTAGGGGTTGGGTGCCATGAGCTTGTGCATTGTCCGAGCTCGTAAAATGGCACATTTGAGATTCGTGTGTTTTGTTGTCTGTCAGGTTACTTCAAAATCAAAACCGTCAGCGGATAGTTGCTTCTGGTTAATGAGATGCGTGCTGAAGTGGTTCTGTAGATAAACACACAGTCAGACACGGCCAATTCCCTCCTCTTCCTTCTCTTCCCACGTCTGCAGGTCCCTGGGCCCATCAGCCCCACCCCAGCATGTGACCCTGTCCCCTTCTCCCGTCTTTCCCTGGCCCAGGCCAGTGTCCTCTCTCGCCTGGACATGCACCTTGCCCGCCAGTCTCCACCTGTAGCTTAGCTGTCTTTCCAGACTGTCAGTCGAACCACACCACTCACCTCCGGGAGACCTGTGCTTGCTCGCTTCCCAGTCACCTGTCCCCGTGGTCTAGAAGGACCCCTAGTTGAACCACACCACTCACCTCCAGGAGACCTGTGCATGCTCGCGTCCCAGTCGCCTGTCCCCATGGTCTAGAAGGACCCCCATCCACCCTGTAGACTGGGCTCGGCTCCCTCTGGCCTCGTCAACTCAGTCTCCAGACAAGCCCTACCTGCCCCCTTGCTTCCTCTTGACCCTCCAAGCTGTTCTCACCTGTGACCTTTGCACGTGAGGGTCCAACCTCCTGGACTGTCTTCCCTGTCGTGTGGTCAGCTGTTTCTCATCTCAGGCCTCTGCTGACCTCCAGGCAGACACGGCGCCCCTCCTCCCAGATGCTCCGCTCCATGGCCCCGTTTCCTCCCTTTCCAGCGCTCAGCTGTGGCCGTTCTCATTCGTCCCTATATCGATTGTCCACCTCCCAGAAGCCATCAAGGGGTGTGTTGTCTCCACAGTTTTCTGATGTCCAGACTAGCACCTGTGTGGTGTGGCTGGTGGGTGAGCTTGGGGGCCCCTGTGCCCCTCTCTCCTGCCCCTAAACCCCCTGGAACTGGCTCCGGGGCTGACCTTCCTGCTCTGATCCCTGTGTCCCTCTAGGCCTGTGCCCACCGCTGGAAGAACATCTACTACGAGACAGACCACATCCTGCCCCACGGTTTCTGCTACATCATCCCGTCCAACCTCCAGGCCAAAGGCAGGACGCTGATCCCTTGCTATGAAGGTGAGTGTGGATGGGTTTGCCCTCATCCCTGTACCTGCGTCATGGCTGAACCACCCCCTGGCCCTTTCCACACCATGCCTGGGCATCTCCCTCACCTTTTCAATGCTGAGAGGGTGGCCTCTTGGCACCTGAGGCCCTGCCCAGGTCCGAGCAGGTACGAAGGCGGCGGCAGCTCCAAGCCCTGCCCAGCCTTGCCCATCCCTGGCACAGAGCCCACGGTACTTACTGAGTTCTATAATGTCACTGAGACCCAAATTCACAAGCCTCAGCCAAGTCATTGAAGAGATCTCTCGGGTTCCTGGCACAGCCAGGTACTGCGTAGTCTTGGAAAACTTGCATTCTCTGTGTTTTGGTTTCCTAGCCTAAAAATGTAAGAGTTGGCCCAGATGGCCTCTCCAGCCCTGTGTAGCTCCCAGTCCCTGGGCTCCCACCCCATGCTTGGCTGCAGTCTGGACAGATGTCCTGAGATGGGAGAAGGAGGCCCCGGGTTTGCAGAGCACCAGCTCCGCCGAACATCGGCCCCTCTAGGCATCCAGTCATCTCTTGATATCTGAAGATGGCTCCTTTTCATAGTGCAGATGCCTGATGATTGGGTGCATCTTCAATTTGTTCTTTTAAAGAATTATTTAATTTTATGTATTATTACTTTTAAATTTGCTATAAGGCACATGTACTCTCCAGAGAGAGACACAGAAAGAAAGCGAGAAAGTAAGCTGCCAGGTCTGAGACTCAAACCGTAGTCAACTGCGTGGGAGTCCAACACCTTAACCACCATGCCACCTGCTAGCCCCCTCAATTTGGTTTTAAGAACTCCTCACCAGGACCAGCAGATGGCATAATGGCTACGTCGTTGGACTCCCATGTAGTTGACTGCGGTTTGAGTCCCGGACCCAATCACTTAAACTTATGCTGGGCACATGTGTGTGCATGCCCAAGATCCCGAGAGGAGAATGGAGAAGGGATTGTGGTGTGGCCATCCCCCCAGGGGGTGATTTCTCGCTTTCTGTCTCTCTGGTGAGTGCATGCACCCTGTAGCAACAAATAAATCTTCAAAAAAGAAAAAAAAAAACCCTCCTCACTAAGGGACATGTGGGGTTGTGTAAAGGAACTGTCCTTTCAGGCTCCCTGCTTAGACCCTTCAGATGCCTGGGCACTGAGAACAATCGATTTGGTCACCGTGTGGCTAGTCCCATTTGAGCTCAGAGGACTCAGAGAGCTGTTCTCTTAGGTCACGAGCCTAATTCTGAATATGCTGGGGTCTGGTTGCTCGCCGTATGCGAGACTGTGTGTTTTACCTCCTTTCCCCTCGCCACAGTTTATCTGTTAGCATGGAAATCTTATTGGCCTGTGTCCACATTGCCTTTGGGCTCTCCTGGGTTTTCCCAGGTTTCAAATTTTGTGGCCACTGAATAGGATCTGAGAAACCCTGTCTAGGTGTTGCTTTTTTCTGCCTCCTGGAGGACCTTCCAGGGGCCTCACATGGGCTGAGCAGAGTCTGAAATGATCCCGCTGAAGAACCAGCAGGGTCCCTGCAGAAGGAGCGATTCCTCTCCTGGGAGGGGAGCCTTTGTTCTTTGTTTTCTCTTGATCAGCATTTCATCAGCTCCAGCCAGGCCACGTGGGGGACTTGAACTCTGGCCCTCTTTATCACTGAATCGTTCTCATTAGAAGAAAAGAAGACGTCATCTTAAAAATCATAGTAGGGGCCAACCCATGGCCTGGTGATTGGGGGTATTTGGATCCGACGTGGATGATCACATGATTTGAGTTCCAGTCCCAATGACTTGATGATCACTCAGGGTGTGTGTGCGTGCACGCCGAAATCCTGATAGGAGGGAGAAACGGAGGAAAAAGAATTGCTGTGTGACCAAGCCACACGGGGAGGGATGGACTTTCTCACACCCCTCTCCCCGTTTCTGTCTCTATCTCTCCAGCAAGCGCACACACCCTCTGACCAAAAAAACGATGATAATATAGTGAGTCAAGAAAGAGGGATGTTAGGATAATATAGTCAGTCAAGGAGGGATGGGGACAGCAATTGGCGTAATGGCTATGTCGCTGGGCTCCCATGTAGTCAACCGTGGTTTGAATCCCAGACCCGGTGGCTTAAACTCACACCAGGCACATGTGCGTGGGTGTCCAAGATCCTGAGAGGAGAATGGAGGAGAAGGGATTGTGGCATGGCCATCCCCCCTGGGGGGGTGATTTCTCACTTTCTGTCTCTCTCTCTCTCTTTCTGGTGAGTACATGTGCCCTATAGCAAAAACCTTCCCTCCCCCCCAAAAAGGAGGAGGGATGTTAGGATAATACAGTCAGTCAATAAGGAGAGATCGTTACCTTCAGATAGTCAGCTAGACACATAATATGCAGGCTGTCTTCTGACTGTTCTAGTTAGTCCTCCTTTCTTCCCAGGAAGAAAAGAGAAAGCTCCTAGAACAGGTTGTTGTGTTGCTCAGTAGGCTAGGAGACCAAGGACTCAGTGGGGTGATGGACTCAGTGGTTACTGAGCCCACACTAGTCGTACGTTAGGGCCAGCCTGTGGTTTTTCTGGAAGATACTGTGTTGTGAAACAGGGACATGGTGTCCCAGTGATGCTCTGCATACTACCCTAGACAGAAGGACGATCCTTCGGAGTGGGACCTGAACTCAAATGTCCACAGCTCACACTTCTAAATCATTTTTAAGAACTGTTTATTATATTATTATTTCAGTTTGCCATAGGGCACACCAGAGAGAAACTGAGAAAGCACCGCTGAGTCCCCGGACTCAATCCGCTGTTGGCTATGTGGGCGTCCAGCACCCCAACTACCACCTGCTGGCCCCTCTAAATAATTTTCTGTCTCTCTTTCTCTCTTCAGCAAGCGCACACACCGTCTGACCAAAAAAAACAATGATAACATAGTCAAGAAGGAGGGATGTGAGGATAATACAGTCAGTCCAGAAGGAAGGATCATAGCTGTTGGCTATGTGGGAGTCTAGCACCCCAACCACCCCTCTAAATCATTTTTATTAAGTGGTGTGGAACTAGTTAGTGTGGGCCAGTGTGGGCCTGGGGACCTTATATATCCTTTCATTTCATCTTCACAGAACTCCTGAAAGATGGTTTGTTTTCCACTTGGGTGTGATTATAAGTAGTTTATTTCGGAAGACACCAGCGAAGGAGTGGGAGGTGACAAAGGGAAGGGAAGGCAGCCCATAAAGGATGTGCTACCCAGCCAGTACCACCATGGGCAACCAGTACAGTCTCTTTGGGGATCTCTAGGGGCCAGCATCAAAGACACTACTAGGGTCATCCTGCCTGGGGGTGAGGGGCCGGGTGCTTATCCACCTGGCATCCTGTCTTGCCATGCGTACGTGCAGGTGGAATGTGTGTGTCCACATGTGCTGGGAGGTCTCCAGGCACACAGATGTAGGCGCTGTGGTTGGACCACGTCATAGAAATGATGAGGGTTGAGGAGGGAGGGCTCCTGAGGGCTGGCTTCTGTGTTACTGTCCTCCTGGTAGAGATGAGGCAGCTGAGACTCTGAGTGTAAGTGAGTCAGAGGGAAAGCAAGCTGCCAGGTCCAGGACTTGAACCACAGTCGGCCATGTGGAAGTCCAGCACCCTTAACCACCGTGCCACTTGCTGGCCCCAGAGCTGGGTTTTGAATTGTGCATCTTTCTGAATCAGCCAAACATTTTTTACCGGGTAGTTAGTGGTGGTTCCTCCTAGTTTGTTTCAAGAGTTTCCGATCAAAGGGGGAATTAAATAAAAGTGAGTCAGTCACCTTTATAAAACAAGAAGAGGTGTGTTTTGAACTGTCCTGAAAATATCATCTAGAGGTGAGGGTAAGGTGACCATGCTAGATGTTAGTGCTTTTGCATCAGACCCTGCTTGCCTTCCCCTTCCTCTTTGCTGCTGGCTCTGACATGATGCTTAGCAGGA